GCCCTGCATGAGCTGGTCCATGCTCATGTCGCTAATGACCCACCTGCCACTTTCCACCCATTCTCCACACACCAGTCACACAAATCACCCTTTAGACATTTTTACTCACTGCGTTCCTCTCACCACAGTGCCTTTGCATGTTCTCTTCCCACTGCCTGAAATAACTCTTCCTTCCTTTCTTTGCCAGTTAACATCCTCTCATCTTTCAGACCCCAGTTCCTACCTCCCTGACATAGGGAAACCCTCCTGGACTGCTCTCCGGGTCAGGTGTTCCTCTTTTGTGTGTATTGGCCTTAGTTTCTTCTCCTTGATAGCACCATCAAGGGCACTTTTGTCTTTTATGCTTTATTTGATTAACATCTCTCTCTCTCTCACTCGACTGTATAACTCAGTGGGGGCAAGGACTGTATCTATATTTATTACAAGAGAAAAGTAGTACCTAGCACAAAGTAGGAACTCAAGAATATCTGAAGATTGTAGATGGATGGATGAGTGGCTTTTTTTAAGTTGTCTATTACACCAGTTAGAATGGGGCACTGTTCTACTTCCAAGGTGTTGGAGGCTCAGCTCCGACTGAAGCAGCAGATGGAGAAGGAGATTTTCTGTTTGCAGTCCCCAAAAGGGGGCAGATGTGTCCTTCCCGACAGAGACTCCCAGTTGCCCTGGTCACATCCTAGGGCCATTTTCCTCTCTAGCTTTTCCTGAGTGTCAGCTCTGCTGGCTTTTATGCTGCCGTCCCCAGGGGGCTTCCATCAGCATGCCCCTCTGTTTCCACCTAGGTCCAGTCTCCATTCCAGCTAGGAATATACACCTTTGCCCAGAGGGCCTAGAAACTCAAGGGGCGATTTTGAGTCTTAGGACAAGAGTTTCAGGAAAGTACTAAAACAGTTTTGAGCTTGGGCTGAGGACTCAGATCTCCTGAGCAACACGACTTAAGGTTTCTGAGGTCTTGTTTCCTTATCTATAAAATGGGGATAATATTAATTTTAATATATTCTATTTATTTCGAAATAGCCAAAGTTTATAATTTCAACATATAATCAGTAATAAAATAACTACTGAGGATTTTCCATTCTTTTAATTTCTAATCAAGTCTTTAAAATCCAATGTGTGTCTTACGTGTGTTAGCACACTGCAGCGTACACCAGGGCTGTCTCAGTGAATTCGTATAAAACACAGTGCCTAGTTCATACTTAGCACTGAACAAATGTTGGCCAAATTACTGGTACTCATTTTAAAACATCAAAATTTGGGTGGTCAAACATTTGTACTGCACGTTTGCATCTGTTGCCACGTGGGGTGAGGCCTCAAATCTGCTGTGGGGTGCCCCCCCACCTTTCCAAAGGAATGAAGAGTTGACTTTAAGTGTTCTTCCCCATTCCCTGGAAGTTGGCCTCAAGGTTTCGGAATGAGGTCAGTTTGGTGTTTTATGGTCGACTTTTCTTCTGGAGGTGGGAAAGGGGAAACAGCGTGCCTCAAGTGCTGCGTGCCTGTCTCTGTTTTTTGGCTCTTTTCTGTTTAATTATTTGAAGCTGGAACAACTTGATTTTAAAACAAAACATATGGGCTGAGAGTAATTGGGAGGATGTTTGCTAGTGATGTAGCACCGAAGGTATGCACAGTTGAGGCCCCGGCCCTGCGCCGCTTGCTTGCTTAGGTAGTGAGTGCTTTTCTTCACTGTGTTTTTTCTTCACATTTTTAAACCTTGTTTGGAGAGTCACAGTTAAAGCAGGAAGTATTAGAGCAAGACTGTAGCGGAAATTGTCTGTGAGTCTTTAAATTCTGATTCCCACCCCCCTGGGTGGAAGATCATGGGTTTCCAATCTGTTATTATATGATTTGTGAAGGAAAAGGGGTTTTCAAAGTGCCCGGAAGAGAGGAGAGCTTCATACAAAGAGGGCAGAGTTGACCCACCAGTTGAATTTCTCTGTTCTTCTGGGTCACTCCATTGCTGACACGCACATGGGAATTTCTGTTCTACAACCAACCAGTCCTTGTGTGAAGGCAGGGTTCTCATTGTTTAACCTCTTCAAGTCCGCTTTGCTTGCTGGGGAAGGAATAAACGATGCCCTCGTCATATCACACGTAATTCTAACCTAAATGCCTCTACTTTCTATCATATGGGGGAAAATGGGAATTTTTCAGGATGAGTAAGAATGCATACTTTGATTCAGTCTCCTCTCGGTTCACATCTCTGCTGCTTCGTTCAGTAGCGGTGTGCTTCTAAGGAAATGAAACTCTGTAAGCCTCGTTCTTCCCTTTCTTAAAACGGGGTTAATAACAGTGCCTCTTCCACAATAAAATTGTGGTGAAGCTTAAAAGAGACACTTCATGCAAAGCACTAATAGTAGCACAGAGCCTGTCCAGTAATAAAAAATAAATGTTAGCGATTAGACAGGAGTCCTCCATGGGGACATGTCCCCCCCACGAGGCACAGCTGACCATGATGTTCTCTGCCGCGCCATCCCACCCACTGCTTGTGGTGACGGTGACTAAGTACTGCACCAGGGAAGGTGGTTGACCATTTGTCCATGAAGAGCTTTAGCTGTGAGAAGGTGAGGCTTTTCTCTGGGATGAGTTTCACATCAATGGGTGTGAAGTCAAGCACTCTTGATTTCAAGGTCTGATGGGATGCTGTGTCTGCACTTGTCACTCATTACCCTATTGTGCCTAGGACCTCTGCATATGAAAGTAACATGCTGAATTGCTCTGTTTTTGTACTACAGAGTCCCAAGTATCTTGGAGTCATTTGGGGGACTGGTGCATTTGTCGTTTTCCGTCAAAAACCTAAAGTGACACAGCACTCTGACCAGGGCCATAGAGGGACCAAGCATGGTTTTCTGTCGGGATGTTCACAACAACAACTCTTTCGAAACCCTTTCCAAACCTCTAAGAGCAAAGAGCAGGAAGAAAGGGGTCTTCTGTTTTTGCCAAATCAAGGACACGCTGGAGCTTTTGCGTCTGCGGGTTCTGAAGGTATTGGATGCGATTTCACTGGAGTCGATAATTGGCAGGAGATTTGGGACATTCTGCTTCTAAAAATACAACCAGATTTTCAGGGCCGTCGGCCGTCTGTTTTTATTTTATTTTTTTTATTTATTTTTTTTTCAGTCCCCCCTTTCCCCTCCGCTCCCGCTGTTTCCCCCAGCCCCCCTTGGATTGATGAGCCAATGCCCACAACATGTCAGCAACCACCTGCTGCGGATGAAGACCTCATCAGGTGGACAGCTCTCCGATTTCCCCAGAACGACAAAGAATAAGCACCCGCACGCCCATCTTCTGTGCGCACCTCTCTCAGTGGACAGCTTTCCTGACATTTAACTTAATCAAGATGTTAGTAAAATAAACAGGGTGCACTGCTGCCATCGGATTGAAACTGCTTGTTAACCTGCCCGCTCTCTCTTCACTTCAGTGTTTGGGAAGGAAATTCAGATTTGCTCTTGGTAATGAAGATGAGGAATAAGATGTGCCCGTGCTCATGGGCAATTACACCCGGTCCTGACCACTGAGCTCTGAGGGGGTGGACAGCCCTGTACAATGTGTCATCAAACATGGGACACCCTGATTGCAAGACCTGCTATTATTTTAGGTAAAATCAAGGGGAAAGAACTGAGATACCATCGCTTTTAAGACCTGTCCCAATTTCAGACATGTTAAAATGTGGGGAGCGGGGAGAAATGTGTATCTCAGAGCAGATGAAATAAAGTGACAACTAACTACAGTGGGAAATCCCCCTGGTTACTGCTTGCTCCCCCCACCCCCCACTCAACACAGCTCAGGGGCAGCACTGTGGTGTTTGTGTGCTCCCTGGCATATGCGAAGTTATGGCACTGAGTTGAGACCAGGCCAAGCTGTGGAAGCCCTTGCAAGGACGATAGAAGTCATATAAGTTTCTGAAAAATGGAAGACTCCAGGACTTTTCTTGGGTCCCACTGGACTTTGTAAGACTCATGTTACCTTCTGAAGAAGTGGTAAAGAGTGTGTTGAGGGCTTCTGCATGCCCTCTTCCTGGCCCATTTCCAGGGGCATGCTGGTGTAGAGAGAATCACCAGCTCTTTTCCACTCATGTCTCTGGTATTCCGTTTTCTAGTGAATACCAGGCCTGGCTGTATAGGGGCAGGTACTGTGCCCTTTCCTACACTAAAAGGCAGCATTAAACAGTATTTATAACTTTGGTTTTACTCAAGAGTCTACCTAATTATTATTCTTCATAATGTCAATGACTTTGAAGCACATACATGTCCCCAACCCTTCTTTTAAAAAAAAAACTTTAAAAATTTCTATTTTTCCAGGTTTATTGAGATAAAAGTGACAAAATTATAAGATATTTAAAGAGCACAACATGATGATTCGATATGCATATACGTTGTGAAGGAATTTCCCACCCTTGAGTTAACACATCCATCACCTCACGTAGACCTTCCTGTGTGTGACATCATTTCCGTTCCCTTAGCAGAAGCTCAGTTTTACAAGACGGTATTACCAACTGTAGTCACGGTGTTTACATTAGATCCTCGGACCTTATTCATCTTACAGCTTGTACCCTTTTGCTAACTTTTTTTCTATTTCCCCCAGACGCTGGCAACCACTTTTTTACTCTGTTTCTATGAGTTCAATTTATTTATTTAGATTCCACATGTAAATGATACTCTGTGGTATTTATCTTCTCTGGCTTATTTTACTTTGCATAATGCCCTCCAGGTTCATCCATGTTGTTGCAAATGACAAGATTTCCTTCTTTTCTAAGGTTGAATTGATATTCCATTGAATATACATACCACGTTTTCTTTACTGAACCCTTCTGAATGCCTAATTTTAATCAAGGTGATTATGGTATTTTTCTGTCAAAGGCTGTTACTCAGATTTTAGACAGGAGTATTTCTCAGCCTGGTAAAGTGACAAAAGAATCGGTTGAAAACTTTATTTGTATTTGTGTTAGTAAAAACATGGCATTTGTCCTTATACTTAACACCCTTTCTTTCTTTCTTTCTTTCTTTCAGTTTTTGGGAATAGCATTTCTTGGAATTGGACTGTGGGCGTGGAATGAAAAAGTAAGTTGAATATCATGAAAATGCACCCATTTTGGTTGTTAGAGGTTGCACATTGTACTACATGTTGTCTCCTTTTCCTCTTTGACAACGGCAGAGTATAAAGAAACATTCTTTAATGAAAGAAAGTGTTCTTGGAAGATAATGTCATATTTCTAAGGCTCGTTAGAATGAAGACTAAATCAGTCATTATATCAAAATAATTACAAAAGTAACAATACATGTGCATAACAGAGATCTTGTGTTGAAATTGTATCAGTTAGCTGGAGATAACCTATTTTTGTGGAACATTTCCTCGCTCTGGCACAAGAATTTCATTAATGCTTATAAATATCACTAAACCACCTGCAGCCTTCTCTCTCTCTCTTTTTTAACCCTTTAGAAAATTAGTCAAGCCATAAAGATGATTTTTCTTTTCAGTATGAGCACTATGTAATAAGCTATTAGCATGTCGTATGAAGGAAGCTGGATATAATTCATGTTTGAAAATCAGATGAACTTCACGTTAATACTAAAGAATGTGAATACTTGTCTGCTGATTGAAAGTATTCAGGAATGTTAAATTTATGAGCAAATACAATATACGGTATTTATGATTACAATATTTATGTAGTTCTGAGTAAATACAATATTTCCTAGGAAATATTTCCTCAACATTTCCTAGGAAATAATCTGGAAATATGGAGTAGCATATTCTAGGCTTCGATGAAGATACAATGTTCTGGACAGTTGATGCTCTAAACAGCACGCTCATGACCCGACCACCCTGTGTCCACTTCTCTGCCTTACTTCCCATCTGCACCTTTTAATTGTTTCTTGACAAGAGGCCGGGCACTGGAATTCAAAAATTAACATGAACTCCTTTTTTCTTCCTTCTTTGGGAGTTGAATCATTGACAGGACTTTATCTCCCACCTTGCAGGAGTGAGGGAGTGTATGGATGGGTGAAAACTCACAAACACAGAGATTAGCTTCAGTTTTCCCAGAAGACCCGTCTGTTATCCCTTCGGTACTTCTTCCTTTGACCTTGACCATGGCCTGAAGCCAAGAGTTTTTGTGAGATATTCTATGCAGTAGGAGAGCAAAACTAAGAAAGCCCAGCAAACAAAAGCCCCTCAGATGCCAGTAGGAATTTCTACAAGTAAAAAAATAAATAAATGTTCAGATTGCGTCAAATAAAACTCAAAGTAAATCCTGAGTTTTGAAAGTGAACCACCCTCTATTTATAAAATACTTCTACGGAATGTAAAATGTTTTATAGAAAACCAACCACCTGCCGGCCACATTCTGAAGGCATTGAAGGCCTTCAGAGGGCAGTGAAGAAGGGAGACAAGGTCCCCAAACAGACATAATTTCTTTTTCTTTTTTTTTTTTTTTTTTTATTTATTTGAGAGAGAGAGAATGAGAGATAGCATGAGAGAGGGAAGAGGGTCAGAGGGAGAAGCAGACTCCCTGCTGAGCAAGGAGCCCGATGTGGGACTCGATCCCGGGACTCCAGGATCATGACCTGAGCTGAAAGCAGTCGCTTAACCAACTGAGCCACCCAGGCGCCCCAAACAGACATAATTTCATCTCTAGAAACTTTTATGTTGAGTACTTGTCATCTTTTGGATTATGATTTGCTTCTGCGAATCAGTCCCCTAGTAGGCTCGTAGATTTGTGTTGGTGGAATCTCAGAAATGTTACTTTTAGAAGCCTTCTGATTGGTTAATGCCGGGTAACACAGCTTTTTATAATCCTCCTTTAATAAGAGTCTTCCATCTGATTTGAAAAGATGTTGGAAGGCATTAAATGAACTAACCGTCTTTGGTAACAATAAACAGACCATTGGTAATTTTGAAGGTTTTTTTTTTTTTTTCTCTTTGTGAAATATAATTACCTTCTTGTTTCATCAGTTGCCCCAAAGGTCTCTTCTGTGATAAAATCATAAAATTCTAAAGCTGACAGTGTCACACAAATATCAGACCAAGGGGGTGCTGTGGTCTTTGGGTGGGGGGGAAATAGCAGTCCCCTCTTTGTCAAGGCCACTACCAATAAGTGGAAAGTTTCCTTGGGGAGCTGAAGTTACTTGGCCAATCACCCAGCTACCGTGTAGCAGAATTCTGTGAGCCAGGACCAGGTGGAGGTAGCAGAGGGTAAAGGACATGTAGGAACCCAGTTTGGTGCACACTGGCCGTATCTCCGCACCCCCGCACTCCCCCACCCCTCAGCATGGGGACACACTGGTGAATGATGCAGAGTCCCTGCATCTGTGGGGCCCTGACAATGAGCAGTTAACTAGCTGAGGACTTCTTTTTTTTTTTTTTTTTTAAGATTTTATTTATTTATTTGAGAGAGAGAGAGAATGAGAGATAGAGAGCACGAGAGGGAAGAGGGTCAGAGGGAGAAGCAGACTCCCTGCTGAGCAGGGAGCCCGATGTGGGACTCAATCCCGGGACTCCAGGACCATGACCTGAGCCGAAGGCAGTCGCTTAACCAACTGAGCCACCCAGGCGCCCGCTGAGGACTTCTTACAACCTTGGATGCCACACTCTGATGCTGGCCACCAAGGTGTCTCTAACTGCAATGGACTTGCACTGGTCCCCCTGCTTCCTCAAGAGAATTCTTTAAGATGTATGTCAGATGATTTCACTTCTCTGCTCCAGTCAGCTGATTCTCCATAGCTCGCGGCAAAACGTAAAGTTGATAGAGTCCCCTTTGGGCCCTTGCCCCAACACTGAGACCTTTTTCCTGCTTTAATGGCATCTCTGCCTCTGCCCTCACTGACGCTGCTCTAGACACCGTCCCCCCAGAAGTCTCAAGGGACATTTGTTTCCCTCCTGCTCTGAGCGCTCCTTGCCTAGCTCTCACCAAGCTTTGCTCCTTCTCCTCCAAGGTTGGCTCAAATGATCTGCCCGTGGAACCTATATGACCACCCACCTCTCCACTTTGGACCTGCTTCCTCACACTCATGTCCACGTGACATGCTGTTTCCCATCATCAGACCTTTCATGGCATGTCCTCAGCATCTTGAACGGTGCCTGACACAGACAGACTCTAGGGAAATGTGTTTTCCAAGAAGTAAATTCAAGAAGAGGGGTGAACAATAAATCAAGGTCCCAGAGAAGGTGCAGTGGGGTTGGATGGGGGTGCCCAGGGAAGAAACACATGGGGCTGGGGTGGGGGGAGAGCAGGCCAGTGGGAAAGGGGGACAGAGAAGGGCAGCAGCCTTCCCCACGGCGGTCTGCAGGCTCTCTTCCCCTTGGCCTTCACACCCCTACTTCTGGGGTACCTTAGGACACTGGGCGCAGGGTGGGCACTGAGCAGGCCCTGCACTGCTCCCATCCCGGCAGGACTGGCACCTGTAATGCGGGGCCATGGAACCCGAGGCGACGCTATGGGTAGTCACCACGCCGCACTGGCGGGCTGCCCCTCCTGCTGAACCTCCTCTCCCCACGACCCCCTTCCTCTGACCCTGTCTTCCTGTGACCGCCTCCTACTGACCCATGCCCCTTGACAGCCCCCCCCCCAAAAAAAAAACCCCACCTGTGTTCAGGTACTGGTGAGTGCTGCTGAGAAAGATAAGGTGTAGTTAGTGGTAGGAGAAGGGGTCTTTTTTAGAGAAGAGTAGTGGGGAACGGTCTCCCTGTGGAGGTGGCATTGGGGCAAGACCTGGAGGAAGTAGGCAGGATCTGTGGGGCGCTAGGACAACGGCCTTCCAGGCAGAGGGAATAGCGAGTGTGGTGGCCGTGAGTCAGGGCCTTGGGCATTCCAAGGAACAGGAAGTAGGCCAAGCGGGCTGGAAGGGAGAGGCAAGGGCAAGGAGGAGGAGGAGATGTGGCGAGAGGGGCAGGCAGAGGTCAGAGCAGGCAGGGTCATGCAGAAGTTTGGATGAGAGGAAGGCACCACAGCACTCTGGGTTTTGATAAGGGACTGTCCTGATCTGGCTTTTTTTTTTTTTTTTAAGGATCTGGCTTTTAAGATTGCTCTCTGGTGGTTGTACGGAATAGGAGCACAGGTTTGGGGCTGAACAGACCTGAGTTCCAGTGCTGCTCCTTCTGGGCAACTGTGTTAACTTCTCTGAGATGCCCTTTCCTCGTGTGCGCCACAGGGAGACAGTAATGTCTCCGCTAGGATTGTCGTGAGGATTAAATGAGATGGTCCCCTGGAAGTGCCGGTACAAAGTCAATGCTTCCTGTGTTCAGAGCCGCCTCCCCGGACACGGGACTACAGCGCGCTGCTTCCGCCTGGGGAGGGACACAGTGGTGGCCTCGGAAGCGGCCTCGGATTGTAGGAGTGTTCAGACTTTGGTCCACAGACCAGAGAATGGGTTTTGTTCTGTGGTCTCTGAAGGAGGATATGATCTGCATGGGTCACCTCGGTGACTGCAAAGGCAACTCTGTTGAACCCCCTTTGGGTTAACTTCGCAACTGGACCAGGCCTCTGAGGGGGTGAAATTCTGAGGTGAACCAGATTTGGCCAAGGGTGGTGGGCAGCATGCTCCTCCTGGGCCGATAACACCAGCCAGTGAATCGGTAGTGTCCCCCCGCCCACCTAGTAGAGATGTGGGGACGTTTACGTGACGGAACACCTAGAGTTGGATAATCTCCAAACTGGGTCACACCTGGAAGGGTCAGATTTCCTTAACAGACTAGGCTTTACACATTTTTATGTGAAGTACAGAAACATTCGAGATAAAAAGTATTACCCCCCCATACATAACTTAATACCAGGCTGAGCCTTAAACCTAAGACTAATATTGCCTTTGTCTTTTATTTTTCTATTTTTTTTTTAAGATTTTATTAATTTATTTGACATAGAGTGAGTGAGCACAAGCGGAGCAGGGAGCCCGATGCGGGGCTCGACCCCAGGACCTGGAATCATGACCTGAGCCGAAGGCAGACGCTTAGCGACCGGGCCACCCAGGCGTCCCTACCATTGACTTTTAGACATAATTAAATAATCCATTTTATGTAAATTCCGAATCGACTGTGCAGATGCAAAGGATGACTGTGTCTCCAGGGG